TGATAATGAATCCTCACATGTTGCAAGTACAACTCTAGTTTGTGATCACAATATTCTCTTACTTTGTTTTGAAATTCGATGGTACGTACCTCGTAGACATCATTTAAATTGAGCACTTAATTGACACCATCAAACAATACCCATCTAGGAAGGTCAAAAAAATAAGGAAAACCAAATTATTAGTTTCCAATGAAGAAAAAACAAGTAACGCTCGTCGCTCAGACTCGCTTGGCCCTCGACTGTATGTTGTGCTCTTTCGGTACCCAAGTCGAAGAATCTGACGTAAGATCGTACAACCCGAACAAAATCTTCTAAGCATTAGACAAAAAATCGTCATCTCTGAAATCTTGCATCAGATCATACTATATTTTCTTTAAATATCACACATGCAATTTATTTTCAATACAAATTTGTCGTGATATTTTAAGGAGATATTAGTTTAATTAAAATATCACAGTGATATTTCACGGGTAACATAATCTTTCAAATATCGTCTGATATGACTTAGTGTAAGAAATCAGAGACGACGATTTTTCGTCTGATCTGATAAGATCAGATATTATCAAGCGTACGATTCTTGTAAGATCTTGCCATCTGGTGTCTCGCCCTGGGTATAATTTACTGTTTTTCAAGCTTCAACTACACTAATCTCCCGTATTTGAAAAAGAATGGATATGATTTCAGACCTTAACATAGAAATTGATGCTAGATTGCTGCATCTTATGCACACTCTCACTCTTCTTTCTGTCCTGAATTCATCTGATGACACTGTGGCTTAAGGACCAACAGGTCGCTAAAATTGGTATAATGTATTCAATATCATGCTAATACTAATCGTATAGCGCATACAAGCAGGAGTGCCAATTGCATAGACAAAGGAGTAGTAATCTTATGCGGATCCAATCCCCACCTATCAAGAATGATACCATTTAAGATGTTTTGATCAGCCTGAAATTTTCAGACATGCGTGGCCGCATTAAGGGCACCCACAGTACAACTTTCATCGTGATTTATCAAAGTAGACATGATCTAGAGCTGATACATAGTTAGATTCTACTATTTCAGAGAACCACTGTAACTTCGTCATCAGAGAAGACATAGAACCCACGACCTCTTAAAAATGCAGTTAGCAATATCGCCAAAGTTTTTTTCAAACAGAGTTTTGAACTCCGTCCCCGCTCAATATTTATGCACATTTTACTGTGCATCACAAGAGAAAGGAAGTATAACTTGGCACTTTACAACGCCACATCCAGCTTTTTTCAAATTAGGAATGAATCATAGAAAATCTGTTTGATGAATAGTTAGCTATAATTTAAAACTTTGAAGCAAAATAAAATAAGTCGTGTCGAACATGTGGAGAGAGATTTCAATTTTCGCGATCGAAACTCCTATTTGAGCAAGCTGCGAAATGAGTAAATGATGAATATATAAATCAGGCAGTAGTATCAAAACACTCTTTTTCAAGACTGTAAAAAGTCACATATTCTTGAAAATAATGACTCTCCTGAGTGCTTCGAGGAAGCTAAACTTTCTATTGAGTCGATGAAATCGAAAACAACCAGGATATGATTCCCATTAAATGCAGTTCCCCGATCAGCGACCCCCAAAAGTAATTTATCCTTGAATTCAGTTTAACACTCGAACTTGATGATATTTTGAGCAATTTAAAACCACTTATATCTAGATAGTCGAGGTATATTTATGCTTGTCTACTGCTTCTGACCATTCTCTCCACCACTAAAGCAGCTGCTGCCATGCCTACCGCCCCCTACAACACAGCACTCATATTTCACAATTTCCAACCCATTACAGTTCTGTTAAACTCAGAGAAGCAGTCAATTCTTCAACTACGAAACTCTTTACTTGAAACTGGAAACTACTTATTCAATAAATCTATTTATAACACGAAGTGCACCGTGACCATTTCTGAGAACCTGAATTGAAGCGAAAATCGTCACTCTCAACATCCAGTATCATCATACAGAAAACAAACTCTATTTCAATACTGAACACTTTGCACATGAAATAGATCTGAAATACTCCCATTAGAAACTAGTCAATCATCAGCGTATCTTAAAAAGATGCTAAGCGTATGCTTCATCCCTGAACAAAATTCAGTTGATTGTTGAATGATTCTTCACAATCTCTAAGACACTGTTTTTCCCGGAAAATCAAAGACAAACTTCAATAGCTAAAATAAAGTACCATTTCTGAGACCTCGATTATCTATGGTCGAACTAAATACAATTTAAATATCTTCTAAACAAACCCACCCTAGAAAATCCGATTCGAGATTTTAAAAATCTGATTTCATTCGAATTCTCCGACCCCGATTTCCTTCCGTCAACCTTTATAGAATATCAACGCTTTCTCGAAAAAACATTTCCTTCGTCCGGAAAACTGAACTCAAAATTTATGAAATCTGACTTCAGGTTCGGATCCTCCGACCGCGATAACCTTAAGGAAAATTCGATGAAAAGACGGTTTAGCACAAAGAGAAGGAAAGCTCGTATGATGTTTTTTTGACCTGCCACAAGCAGACAGACAAACGCATTTTTTTTCACATGGCCCTCCCTACAGTCGAGGGAATAAGTACTTATCGTGAAAAAATGGTAGTATGAGCGATTAGGTTTGCACGCATGGCCAATTTTCGTGAGATTTTCATCTTTTTATCATTTATTCAACTATAGATATCGGAGCCTTGCATAAACATAAACAAAAACCAAACACATAGAGCGCATCTAGAGAAAGAAAAAAAATTAACAATGAATACTGAAGGGAACAGAAATGTGAACAACACCTACTGGAACAATATCTGAGAGCAGAGATGGATCAGTGAAATCATTTTTGATTTACGTTGAATGTCGGAATAGTAGAAGACTTAACGTGAAACGATTTTGAATTAGTTATGACTTGACTTCATTTGACTTCAGTCAAATAATACATGACGTCCATTTCTCAGTATTAGATTTAAAAAGTAATTGTATATGCTGTTCTAGATAAATAATTCAAATAAAATAATTGAGGTGTTGAGTAAATTATATATAACAATGGCAATTATTTCCAGTGAATAGAGACAATAATTTTGTCCACTATCGATTTAAAAATTTATTTATTGAAAGCATAGCATAGCTATCCTTTCATGATATTATACCATTTGAATAAAAAAAAACTGCGTACTGCTGTAGTGTAACTTGGTCGCTCAGGTAGAAGAGGGAAATATCCCGTCTCCCAAACCACTTTTTCGATTTGTTGCCAAAAAAATCGAAAAAATCAGGGACTCATGGTATCCCACACCTCATATCTTTACCACGGCCGTACTATTTCAAAATTCATTGAAATGATTTAAAACTATGCAATGGCTCAAGGCCACGAGTAATATCGATCTTTCTTAGAGAGAAAACGTTCTATTCTTCAAACTATTGCTTCTGTCTCATTTATAGTTTTACATTTCATAATCCACTGAGTTGTTATACGTTCTATATTCATTATCAAATCTCAATGAAATTCTCCATATTTCTAGATAGAAACCTTTTCACATGATGTTATGGACCATTCATCATACAGCAACCCAATATCGTCACGTACTTCGCTTGGTCTGTTTGTTTATATTGTAATTTGTATCAGAATACTTGTATACAACTGATTTAGTGCATCTTTGAGCTAACACGTCGAATTCCCTTCTATCAGTAAATCACCGAGCACATCTTACGTGTAGATTCTTCCATCACGTAACAACCTTGACTCTTAAAATTTGTGATGAAGTTTCAATTCATTGTGTGATAAATGATAGTGAACTTCGTCCTGAAATCATTTGTAAATTTTCATCGAATTAGTAAGCATGAAATTAAAATAAAACGTGATAGGAAAATCTAAAGATAAGCAAGCAGTTACTGTCAATTCATAAAATTTTAATAACAAGAAGATATTTTCATTTTCTAAACTACTAAAATTTTACGCATTTATTTCTTAAAATACTTGTAATTGTTATCTGGGTATCACAAAAACAAATTTCTAATAAAATATGTATATATTTAAATATCATTTTTTCCTGTATTCAAGTCAAATTTTTTATTCTTCTAAATATGTGATTCTCTCATATTTCAACGTGATATTTAGATCAAATACATAGGAACCTATAGTGTTAGTTCGAGAGTCTTGGTGACGCCTATATATATATTACCTCTCATTTGTCATAGCTTCTAATCGTATTGACTATGGGTTCGACATTCTCAACATCTATTAAACAATCTGCTGATATATCGGGAGCCAATAATAATGTCTGGATGACCAATGGTGCGAAATTTAACATTTCATTGATGTCTGGTCAAACAATTCAAGACGCAATCAAAAGATTTCAAGATGTCGTCATAAACAACAATCCAGTTATTATCATTAATATTATGTTGGTCTTAACTTTTATTATTTTACCGATCCTGTTTCTGTATTTAAAACGTCACTACCAACAACGACTCCCTGAAACAGATTTCAACAGAATTTTGTTTATCAATTCTACTAAGTATTCAGTATCTGATGAAACATCGTTATCAAACAACATTCTCAATTATATGGAGGGATGTCTTTCTTAGAAATCATGCGTCTTTTAAGTCGCTCAACAATTCACAAAAAAAAACATTTTTCAAATAATATGAATTTTTATGCGTGCGTGTATGTAATAAACATATAGTCCTTTGAATTGAAAAACAATTTTTTTTCAAAAATAAACTGGCTCAATAATGTTCTATCAGCAATATAGAATATGTTTGTATTCTTATCAAGTATGAAATCAGCTGACTTCCGGAAGAAAAAGAAATTCATCATCATTAATTTTCAGCTGAATTGTTTATTTTGACCTGATAAGAAAAACGAACATCTTCTCTCTTCTCCTCATGCACTATAAAAGACGATGAAATATCATTAATCGTTTCATACGAACAAAAAAAATTACTATATTCAAAATCAATATCACTACGTATTATTCTCGAGTTTGATCAAATATGGGAGATAGTAGTACTAAAACCTTGATTCAACAACATGTCAAAGAAGGAGGTAATGCTAAAATTATTCTTGGCGACACGGTTTTATCTAAAGCGACTGATACGCCTGTTCAAACAGCATTGAAAGCAGCTGGTAAAGCCATCGAGAGTGGAAGCGATCTAGTAGCTATGCCAGCACTCTGGTTGAAAGATATGCAAAAAAATTGGCTTATGTACATGATTCTTGCTGCTATTATTTTATTAACAATTGCATTTTTATATTGTGCGGTTCGTTCTTATTTCATGCGCAGGGAAAACAACTCGTCTATGGGTAATCTTATCGAACTTGCCTCAGTGTTCGCCAACAAAAATTCGTCATTACAAACACAATTGCCATTGTCAGGACCGAAATTATCATCGGCTTCACCATCAACAGTTGTAGATTTGGGAGTTTAAATTCACATAAAAACTCCTATTCATGTGAGCTGAAAGATTTATTGAATCACAGTTTCTTGCTTTTAGATATATTAGGGTTCTCTCTATGCATGGTATTTGTTTAGCTATCATCTAATCTCATTAGATTTTTTTTTTTTATCTAGAAAACTTTTAATATAGTCTCAACTCATTTTACCGCTTTAATAATCTTTAATTAGTCCTGCTGATTATTTTTATTGTTAAGCTCGTAAAAATCTTTTTATCATCATTGTTCAATAGATACATGAAAAGTAAAAAAAAATATCCATTTTATTTCATTATAATTAGTTGATCTGATAAGATACAGATACTAATTAGTTTATGGTATGTTCCTTCATTCGAACTCACTTCATCACTTCTTTTTCGTCTTTATCTGAGTTAAACGCATCGCAATTTTGCTTACATTCCTTTGTAAGTGCTCTTATCTTTCCATCAGTGAGTTAATAATCACACGATGGAAACTAATTATCACCACAATCAAGGTGGTGTATAAAAAGACGTAGGAAATAAACGGTCTTTGGCTAATAATTTATACAATCAGCAGATCAGCTTACAAGAAACGTCCAACATTGAATCGGGTCATGATGATGGTATTTGCGTACAACGAGAATTCATTATGAATGAATTGGTAAACGATGAAGCATTGCTAAATGATTTTTTACAATTTCGTCAACAACAAGCACAATATCGAATTCAAAAAACAGGACACAATTTAATTCCGTACCACGAAAAAGTTTCGTCAAATAAACAAGTAACCCACAAGCAATTAAATCAATCTAAAAAGCTACAATCAATGGCACACGCACAACCAGATGTTTCAACGCCAAACAAACGCAGATTAAATGATAGTGCTGGATCAGGAGGATTGCCAACACCGAAGCAACAACGATCTGGAAATAAACAATTTCAAGATAATGAAATAATATTAGATGAAACAGGTGATAATCGACAGATAGATTCAACATCAAAATACATGCAACAACACAAGATCACTTTCGATCAAGTGAAACGAGCTGTCTCGAGTAATCTACCATGTTTCTATATAACATTCCACCCTACAAATGAAGATCAAAAAGTACCATCAGCTTTCAACGTAGTGGATCAAGTGTTTGAATATTTAAAGCAACAAAACGTACAAATTAATAGATTTAGTTTCGTAGGATGGGCAGGAGCAAAGCTTAAATTGGGAGTAAATGACAAAGAAGACTATATTAACCTTGTAGCAATCGAAAAACCGAAGTATATTCCCGATTGTTTTGCTTTGGTCATTAGATATATTCCTCGCGGTATATGGATTATGAATTTGTAAAAGAAGAAATATCAAGATCAATCGCATCAGTTGTAAACCCAAAGAGGATTCAATATTCATATAATCGAAAAACAGACGATTATCGCTTTCACGTTAAAGATTTACAAGAGTACAATCGAGCGCTCAACATGAGACGTATATCAATTGGAAATGTTATGGTACCAATTACACGATTTTTAGAAGGTGATAAACTAACATACTGTACTCGTTGCTGGCGTGTGGGGCATATGAGAAATAAATGTCTAGCTCCAACGGCTCGCTGCCGAATATGTTTACAAGAAATTACTGATATTCAAAAACACAACTGCTCTCAACAATCAAGATGTGCTCAATGTTATGGTAACCACCATTCACTTAGTAGTCAATGTGAATCTATAAAAGCTTACAAAATACAACTAAAAGAAGAAGTCGATAACGCACTTGCTCGTGGTGTAATACACAGATCAGAATCTAATAAGCAAGTACCTATTTTTAATCAAGATGACTTCCCACATCTGTCAAATCCTAATCGAAACAAAGTACCAGCTTGGGGATCAAAACAAGGACCAACGCATCAACCAACAATTGAATCCACAGAAATAACAGGTGTTCTTACAGCACTAAATAAACAGTTGTCAATTATGACTGACATAATTATACGAATGGAGAAAAAGTTTGAAGAAATGGACATGCGTATGAAACATGATGCAGAAGCTTTGGAATTATTACAGAAAATTATGAAAAATACGCTATGTTCAATACGCGAAGTTATGGAGATTATAGTGAACCCTCTATGTGAACTAGCGAAAATACAAGTAAAAAGAAAACATCTATCCTTTACAACTATTCTGGAAGAGTTACAAGCTGGTACAAGTAATAGATTATTGAAGCAAGTCGCTGACACGCAAAAAGATGGCCAATCAAGCAAAGATACAACCACGTTATCTGCAGCAAGCAATACAAATGCTCGAAGAACATGAAATCAGCTCTCAAACCAGCAGCTAAGAATGTTTTTCCTTCATTTCTCCCCACCCAACATATAGAAAGAAAGATGCAATCATTAACACAATTAGGAAAGTGGAACCTCACAGAAAAAGACAAGGAGTTTACTCGCTGCCTGCTAGATGAGTGGTACTCTGGTAGTACATTATCCTCAGTTTTACAGCAGTGGGAAGAGCATAATAATAAGTATTTGCCGTCCGAAAAAGTTCCTCTGAATATCCTTTGCTATAATGTGGAAGGTTGGGGTACCCGGTATTTAGAAGTAGTAGATCTAGTTTATAAAATAGATGCATCAATTAGTGTTTTAACAGAAGTTGGAGAATTATGGAATAAGTTTACTATACCCAATTTTAATATGTTCCATCAAAAAGGTACAAATCGAAGTGGTGGAGTGTGTGTCTCGGTAGGAAAACACTTAAGAGCTACGCAAATTCAATTAGAAATTGAAAACACTGTAATCGTTGATGTTTTCAATCTCTCCGATCCGATTCGAATCATCGGAATTTATTGGCCTCAAGGTCAAGAGCGTAACCTCGACGATCTTAGTCCATATTAGTGTCCTGCACGGGTGCAACTTTTCGCACCCGAGCCCGACCCGGCTAGTTTTCTTCAAACCCGAAACCGACCGCACCCGTCGATCTGGTAACCGGAACCGAACCGGCCCGAATGAGTGTACCCGGTACCCGACCGGACCCGACCCGACAGTAAGCAAAAGTTACAAGATAGTTTAATAGAGAAATAAACTTTTCAAGTTTTTATTTTGCATAAAAAGTACTTAGTTTACATAATGAAATATAGTACATTAATTTTATCAATTAACAAAAACAATCACTTAAAATTTCTTAAAAAAACAAGCGAATCGAGTGAATCGGGGGCCAACTGCTGTCTTCGTGATTCTAATATTCTTCCAGTTTCGCTAAAAACGCGCTCGCTTGTTGCTGATGATGCTGGAATTGACAACAATGCAAGTGCTAAACTTGATAATTTTCCATAGATTCACGAATATTTTTTCCACCATGATAACACATCTTCCCCTTTTCCATAAATCACTTTACTCTTCATATATTCAAGTACTTCATCATATACGTCGTTGTCACTATCTGTTAATGAATTATCATTCGAAGCAAATTCTTTTAAAACATCATCCACTGTAATATCGGCACGTTTTGCTCGCTTGTTTCTTCTTCTTTTAATTTTATCATTATCAGTTACTATTATTGTATCTGCTGAGTTTTCATCAAGTCCAACTGTTTTTAGCATTTTTTTAACCGATTGTACGACCTTATTACGTTCACTATGACTTAACGTCTAGAACAAAGGAAATAATTTTATAAATTTTCTAATATATTATTCTTACTGGAAGTGATTTCGTTTCCGGATGCAAAAACGTAGCAATATAATGAATATCTGTGATCCAGATTTTTTCATCGAGTTTTTCTAATAATGCTTTCTTCAATTGAATAACATATAACTTATCTGTGCTTCTTGGCTCGCAAGTCTTTTTTAACTTGACGAACCATGGCAACACCGCATGCAACGTAGGATTATCATCGGCAGACAGCTTTTCGCTGCATATTTTAAACACAGATAATAGATCAGTAATGTCTTTAATTAGATAACGATCAATGCCACTTAGATATTTTTCTTCATTTCGATTCAATAAAATTTCCTGAACATCATCGTAGTTTAGATATATTGACCAAATAGTATCGTACGTGGAGTTCCACCGAGTACATATATCTTGTTTCAAGGTGGATGATAATTTGCTTTGCAGCTCACACCGCTTGAAATGACAAACTAAGTCTCGACACTGAGCTACAATTAAGTCAATGCTTGGACATGCTTCAATACTTTGTGAAACTACTAAATTGATGCAGTGGCAAATACACCGAATGTGTGCTTCGCCATTTAAGGCAGATATTAGATTCGAACCATTATCCGTGATGTAAATAATTTCGTATGAATCAGGATTAATATCATATGATTTAAGGATGTTCCATATCATTCGTTTTGTGTTTTCTAAAATTAAGAATCGTAAGAAAGAAATTCAAGATAAAATAATTGAGTTACCGCCTGTTTTGGCATCACTAAATAAAACAGTTTTTAGTACGAAATTATTCATAACACCACCTTTATTGTAATGAAGTGTAAGTGTTAAATAACTCTCAGAAGAATATTTATTCTTCCAAAAATCAGTTGTTATACCAAACAATTTTATCTTCTTTAAATCAAACAATAGCCTATTAATTAGTTCTGAACGATTTTCTAAATACAAATCATCTTTTAAAATAGAAAATAATTACTTTTATATAAGTTACCTTCAGCTAGTTTTTGTACTTTACGAGATATCGTTGTTGGATCGGAAATGATAGATTTTGCTTGAATCCGATGAGGATGTTTATGCGCTATATCCAATAATGATTGACATAATAGTTCAAAACCCTGACCATTGACCGTTTCAAAAGAGCGCAGGTCATATGCACAAAACTTAGCACATGCTTCAGCGAATGCAGCTTTGCTACTTGTTAAAGAAATTTTATCTTTGCTAAACATATCAGAAATATCTTGACTTTTGCTAGTAGAAGCTGCACCACCTCCTAAACAATTTTGAGCATGTGATTTATGTGTACTTGATCCAGTTTTATTAACATCATAAGAGAATATTGACAAACATTTAGTACATTATAAAAATGGTATAATATCATCTTTACCATCTTTAATTCGTAAGAACGTATGCCACCATGATGCTGTTGCTGAGCTTGGTTTTGAGCATGTCTTAAAAATACCTTCATCTATTTTCTTTTTAATATTTTCTTTTTCTATCTTAAAAGCATGCATCTTAGAAATAAACAATATCCGAATGTGCGTTGCCGTTGTACCTAATTATGAAAAGATAAAATAATTATTAATAATATATAAAAAAATTCTCACAATGAATAATAAATAGATCGTCAATCGCTATTAAGTATCAACAACGAAGTTATTCTTGCATTAATATTGATAAAAAAATTAAAATAATTATAAAATAAATTCGTACGATCGATAAAACGACTGGATAATCAACAAATATAATAAGTTAATTAAAAGTTCGTTTGTTAGTTCTATAATAAGGTAAATATAAACAAGATATTACTTGTTCTTGTTCTTCGTTTATATCGCTGTTTCTTCTGTTTCATAGTATTCAAACCAATCAAAAAAAAAGCTTGTAATAAAAAATTTTCCTCAGATGTCACTTATCGTCGGGTCGGGTCGGGCGTCGGTTAAATGAAATTTTTTCACCCGATTTGATTATTTTTTATTCTACCCGGATCCGGCCCGACCCGACAGTTTTTAACCGGAACCAGGTACTGGGTCGGGCCGGGTACCGGGTACCCGACCCGTCTGCAGGACTCTAGTCCATATATAACACAAGAAACGATTATTACAGGAGATTTCAATGCGTCATTAGAAGAATGGAATAGTACAGCATCAGATAAACGTGGTAAAATTTTGAAAGAATGGATAGAAAAAAATAATCTTACATACATTCCTTCTTCCTCACATTCATCGAAACGCTCCAAGAGAAATATCGATCTCACTTTCTCAAACATTGATGGAATAAATGCTGAAACGATGTTTTTTGGTACCAGTGATCATTGGCCTATTGTAATGACATGTGAGAACATAGGATTTGAAATCAGAAATTTTTTCCCCTTTGTTAGGTGGCATATTTTTGAAGGAATGCTGGCACTTCTTCAAGATTTTTGGATTAAAGAGCAAAGTATAACATCAGTGGATGAGTGGTACAATACATACACTCGATTTCTAGCGGCATTAAGAAACAGAGTAACTGTATGGAAGAAAAAAGAAAAATATCGACCGTCACTACCACCTCTCATAATAGATAAACTAAAAAAGCTTAGAAGAATAAGAAATAAATATTACACAGAGAGAAAGAGCGGCTGTCAGAATGAAGAGACACGTGTTCTGTTAAGAGTGATAAATCGTGAAGTAAGGCAAGAAATTGCAATACATAAATCGTCTTGCTGGCAATCCTTCTTGTCATCAATCAGAGATAAATCTGATCGACCAGAAAAAGCTTTCTGGTCTCAAGTGTCCCGTGTATACAAATCGAGAAGCTTGCCATTTTCAAAGCTAAACAGTGGACAATCAGTAATATCAGACAAAAAGGAAATAGTTGACACACTTTTTTCATACTATGAAAACCAGTTCAAAAAAACGGAAATAAAAAAAGACGATCCAAATGACATGGAAATTGAAGAAGAGCATAGAGTATTATTAAATGAATTAAGTATCTCAGAGGAAACAGTAGAACCAACTAGCGCCTTTGAAATAGCAAAATTTATAAAAAAAGCTGAAACCAAAAAAGTTATCAGGTTTCGATCAAATATCGAACTTCATGATTAAGTTGCTTCCACCGAGCTACATTACGTGTTTGACAATCTGTTTTAATGTATGGATAAAAGAAGGTAGATATCCAGAGCAGTGGAAATTAGCTAAAATAGTAACATTAAATAAATTAAAAGCAGATGTCCCGCGCTGAGATCAAACTAGACCTATATCACTTCTTGCAACACATTCGAAACTCTTTGAAAAAATAATATTGGAAAAAGTACGATATTGGGCAGAAATGAATCAATTAATTCCATCAGAACAATCAGGGTTTCGTCCTCAATGTCTTCTCCACACAAGAGTACTCTCTATATATCAGGAAGTAGATAATAATATGGCAGCCAATATAACAACGCTAGCCATATACGTTGACTATCAAAAAGCATATGGCAAAGTCTAGCATGCCGCACTTATAGTTCAATTGAATCGCTTCGGTATGCCTCATGGCTTGCTCAAATTTTTTGTATCATGGTTGAACGATAGAGAAGCATATGTTGTCTTTGGAGAGCAATGTTCGAATAGATTTAGAATTTTTTCTGGTCTCCCACAAGGCAGTAGTTTAAGTCCATATCTGTTTATCGTCTTTCATAGTGATCTAACTACAGTTCTGGGAGCACATTCGGCTCACCTTTTTCAGACGACCTCAACGTACTTATCCGACCCCCAATATCGAAAAATTTGGCACCTATGATAGAATATTTAGAGAAAGAAGGGACTAAAGTATGCAATCAGATCGCAGCGTACTCACGAAAATGGAAACAACCGATAAATGTTAGTAAAACAGTAGCACAAATCTTTTTCTCACAAGTTGCAATGCCACAAATCAATATCACTATGGATGGACAGAAGATCGAAAGTGTTAAATCCTTTAAATATTTGGGTTTTACTTGGACAAGTAAGCTGTCCTTGAAACCAACTATCGATAAATGCATAGAGAACATACAGAAATCTTTTATAAAATTGAAATGGTTAAGAGCAGGCAATACATTAAACACAGCAGTGTTGAGAGCATGTTTCTTCGCTTACAGTTTTCCGTATTTCGCTTGGTTGTTTCCTTTTTTTCCACTTCTACCCAAAACGCAACAAGAAACTCTGAGGTGTAAATATCGAGTAGGAATGAGACTGGTGTATCGATGTCAGTATGTACCGGAGCACACTCTATTCGAAATGATAAAAGAAAACACTTTAGATTTTTATGTTAAAAAATATATAGCGAAAAGAATAAATCAAATGCACAAATCTGATTTAGGAAAATCCCTCTTTTATAATGATATTTTTTTATTGGGATGATTTTAAAAAAAGAAAAGGAGATCACTTGGGTCATCTATTCCGAATGAAACGAGTGAAAAATTTAAAAGAGAGACATGAAGTTTTTTTAATAAAATGGCTTGAATATGTATAATAGGTATATTGGCGTGTTATGATTGCATCTCTCATCTATATCAGCAATCTTTTTTTGTTCTCTTTCCATCATTGTTCCCTATTCTCCTTTCTGCTTCATTAGCATAAATTATATTCTTATTTCTTCTATCTTCCCTTGCTCCATCTTTATCCTTTTCTCTTCCTTCTCTTTCTCCTTCTCTTTCTGTAATACATCCCCCTATATGATACGATTTCAGAACACTTTGCTCAGAACAGACAAGCTTGCATATTTTATATGTATGCTTAAAATTGTATCCATGCTGTTAAGGAATGTTCAAAACCCCCATATAAGCGCTTCCGAGCGTAATAATAAACAGCATATTAAAAAAAAAAACTCACTTCATTCATAAAAAAGTATTAAATAATAGTATTTTTTATGCATCTGACTTGATCATATCTAAATAGCTGCTTGAAAAGAGAGAATTGTATTCTGTATTCATAAATAATATAATTTTAAATTTAATTACTTTAATAAGAATAATAATCATTCATATTGATACCTCTCATTTTACGGAACTCGCTCCATTTTTTGTAACATAAGCTTCTAATACGGTAACTTATATTACTTGATTCAACTCGCACGAGCACAGATTCACATTAAAACTTTAGCATTAGTCTTTAAATTTTACTTCATTAATTACATCAATGGAAAGATCAGTTTTCTCTTCGTTCAAAACTTTTCAACTCCAACTAACTACATCGATAATGAAAAACGTTGATATTGTTTTCTTTCGATACAATCTTCTATTTTTTACCAGAATTAATTCTTGAGAGCAGATGATAATATATTTTATGCATACTATTTTATTTTGTGTCAATAACTTCATAACGATAAGGATGGCTATTCTTTTTCTTCCATGTATTTCCGTACTAAAGCTCACTATATTGATCAAAACAAAAATTAATTTTTTCCATTTTACACCACGCATCTTTTTTTAATTTTAAAACATATTATTTTTATTTACACTGAATAATTCATTACGACACATATTCATAGGATTTTGTTTTTTTATAGATAGTATTTTAAGTTATTTAATTCAGTCCATACGGATCAACATAGATATTCTTCATTTCATATATGCACTTGACTACTATTCAGTCCCCGCTTGAAGATGCGGAAAAAAATTTTCGTTTTGTATGTGACTGTTTTCTTTTAAATTTATTTACCAAGAATAGACATCAATATGATTTTCTCTCAGAGGCTTTTCCTATTCGAGATCACAATCTCGATGTCAATCAGAATCTCTATTCGTTAGTTTCATTCATTTTTACTTAATCTCGATCTAGTCAGCAACACAAACACAAATATTCTTTCTTTAACAAATTGTGTTTTCTTCTTCTTACGTAGCTCATAAGGGGGAGGGGGATTGTGCTCTTTCTTTCACATAGTTTCCCAACATCAATTCTTTACATCCACAAAAAGAGGGGTATGACATTTTTTCAACTTGGCCTTGTGCTCGATGAAGTACTCATTGGCATAATATTCCTTTTGTACATATATATTTTACTTCCGTCCTGTCCGTCCCTAAAATTCTTCAATCATATTTTCCCTGTCAAGTATCCCGTTACTAAATTCGCTTCGTCACGATAACCACGATTTCCTTCCCATTAAATATTTTGCTTTTATTTCGCTCACACAATTCATTCCATCAGATAGTTCCCTTTGTTCACCTTTATAGAATATCAACGCTTTCTCGAAAAAACATTTCCTTCGTCCGGGAAAATGAACCCAAAATTTCTGAAATCTGACTTCAGATTCGGATTTCCCGACCCCGAAAACCTATAGTAAAGTTTCCGTAAAAAAGTGATAAGCTTAGAAATAACGTCAGCGATAGCGGATGTTTTTTTGACCTGCCGCAAACATACAAACGCATTTTTTTTCATATGACCCTCCCTACAGTCGAGGGAACAAATGAATATGTCATATTGAAGTTATTTTGATCAAATTAAACAATAAATAGATGTTGCTTAGAATAATATAATCATCAAAACTGATATTAAAATGTTATCTTTCAACGAAGCAAACAACATATATTTGTGCATGGTTAAAAAGAGCTCGATGAGTTGATCACAAATATCACATTTAGCATTTCTTTCAGTAGGTTTCATTCGAAATTTTTCTAAAATAATAGAAAAATGCAGGATATTGGTGTGGGCGTGGACGTGAACGGTGATCTTCCCTTATCGTTCATCCATCAGTACACTTCGCCTCACTTCACCCACACCCACACCCATCTCCCAGATAGTATGACCATTTATTTTCCCATTCAGTGCCATTTATTTGAAAGAAAAAAATAAAAGAATGAATACTCTGTTGATAGTTTATTTCAAAGAAAATCGTTGAATACGATGATTCCGATGATCAACGGTATAGAGATTTCCATGCCGATCGAAAGACAAATCTCTGAGCTCGTTAAACTGATTTTCTCTTGCTCCTACATAATTTCCGCCAACAATAACAGTGCCCTGCTTCGCTCCTTGAGGCCAACGAACCACTCGGTGATTATAGACGTCTGCTATGTAGACGATGCCCGACGCATCGACGAACACTCCTTTTGGATCCCACAATTCTGCCCGAGCATTACTCACATTTTGACCACCCGCAACGCTGCTTCCCTCTTTTGCACCGGCATGCCATTTCATTACACGATGATTCAGACTATCCGACACGTAGACAGTCTGATGTTGATCGACAAAAAGGTAGGTCGGACAGTTGAGTTGTTTGAGACCATGGCCTTCGCCAAAACCACCACCAGCAACAAGAATTCCACTCTTTTCTCCTATTCTGTATCGTCTTACTTCATCTCGTATTTCGTCAGAGATGTAAAGATATCTCTGATAATCCGTAGCCAATCCATAACAATGGATATCGTCCTTCAGGATTGTTCCGAGAGTTGTACCACGGGATAGAGACCATTGCAATACTCGCTTATTTCCTTGATCACAAATAATGAGGCTATCCGTGTTTTTATCGACTAACGCATCGGTTGGATAGCTCAGTTGATACAGCCGATCTCCTTGACCACTGCCACCAGCAACTATGTGTCCACTTTTCTCACCAATCTTCCACTTAACGATGCGATGATTGCTGTAGTCAGTGATGATCATTGCTTCATCATCATCGTCAATAAACAGGCCATAAGGATATGATAGTTGGTTGGTGGCACTACCTCGTCCATGGCCTCCAGCAACAGTTATTCCTTTCTGGTCCCATCGTGCATCCGATGGAATATTGAGTAGAACTATAATAAAACAGAAAAGTAAAAGCAGTTAGTATCATCGCTGTTGTGCGCACGAAACGGACTACTATTATCAAAAACACATTCTGCTTCTTCGAAGGGAGCTTGAAAGTCGGCCCACGTACGTTGCGACCGATTTTCACAAAGATTCTCCCCCCCGCCCCGCCCCTATTTGATCTCTGAAGATATCCAACGCATAGAAATCAAACTCACATCGGTTTAAAGTGATCACCGAATACTACAGATAAATGAAAACATTGACCTGGGATCTCTTGAAATGGCTTGGTGAGACTGATTGAAAAATATCAAAAAGGCTGTTAGCGCAATGCATGTGGAATTAAAATATGAAACGCGATTAAACTGCTTTTTCTTGAGTCGATCTTCCATAGTCTGTGGAGAAGGTCGAGAAGTGAATCCAAGTTTCTACCCTATATACTTCAACGTTCCTCTTAGATCGTGTTTCACAAAAGATGTATTTTCCCTATAGGAAACGTACCTGGCATCACTTAGAAAATTTGCTATGGTTGTGTGACACATATGAAGGAACAAAGCAAAATTGTTCGGACATCAGATTTCAGAAAACAGATTTATAGAAGAAACACTTGAAAAATATAATTGTACAAAAACAGTTACGTTTCTCTCATATCTATGACAGAATCTAAGAAGGCGCCAAGGGGAAATTTTTGGACCGTCTTTCAGTATTAAAAAGCAAAATAAGAAAACCTTACCAGACTGAACAGAAACAGTGTGATGTGTTGAAATTTCTGTGCTTATGTCAAGAGCGTTTGTTGTTGTAAAAACTTCGAATTGTAGACTCGTCTCAGTTTCCACCACTTGCAAAAGAACTGAAGTATTTTCTCTGCTTATGTCGAGAGTGTTTGTTGTTGTAAAAACTTCGAATCGTGAACTCGTCTCAGTTTCCATCACTTCGAAAGGAACTGAAGTATCGTTTTTGCCTTGAGTTACTGTTGTTGTGTTGACACATGTTTCACAATTTATTTCTGGTGGTAAGCCACTGATTTGTAATCTACTTCAATTAGCAAAACGATATATTCTATGCAACCCTTTCATTAGTATTCTACTTACTGCGGCTGCAGTAGTCGCCATAGTAAGATACAGCAACAAAGTACTGTGATGGTCACTACCACCACCAGTGCGATGATCTTGGGGTTGGCTCGCGTCTTAGATCCTTTATCATTCAGCGCTATATACTGTACGTGTTCACTTTGCTTTTTAATATACTTCATCCGTTAAGATGAAACAAATTCTGTATTGACGCAGTGTTGTAAAAGAAAAGAAGATAGTACGGTATCAAATAACGTCAAAACGTGTAAAGGTTAGATAGAGCGTATTAGATTCTAATGAAGAACAAAACAATTCAATTGAAAATAGTATGGTGCCTGGTAACCGATCTTCCTTTTAATGACTTATTTTGCACAAATATTACTTCAAAGCACATTACGACGTGTTTCGGCCAGGGCTCAATCTAATTTTCATCAAGTAACTTTGGAATCTAAAACTAGATAATTATTCAATTAAGAATGGTATTTGGTTTCTTCATTTTATTTCTTAGGTATTAAAATTCAAATACAATAAATAAGGAAGAAAAGGCGTAGGATCGTATGTTTTCTTTATGTAGTCTTTTTTTCCGGTGTGTATTAACTTGATTCGATTTTGTTTCGATTGTATTTTATATATTTTCGAGGCCATTTCTTCCGTATGAACTATTTTTATTGTGTAATTAGAATTGGTATCAGGCTGTGGCATCAGCATAATATTGTTCCCGCCAAATTTGAAATTACTTTTCTTAGTGAATCAGATACACTCTAAATAAAATCCATCTTATGGGAAACGAATAGGATGTTTCCGGGCTTGTCACTATATAAAACCCTTTATAGGTTTTCGGGAAAGGGCTTGCGAGCATTTGGAAACTTATTTGAAACTCTCACAAGCAATCAAGCATGCTGCCGATTCCGAAAACCTAATGAAAATGTCCGATACTTCGGGAACTTTTTAAACGTTTTCAACAGCTACAAACCAGCAAGCGGTTCACATAGGTACTCAGGGCTGCCAAGTGCTGATTTTTAAATGTGGTACATCAGATTTCAGATGGGGTACCGTTGGGGTACAATTTTTTTTAAATGGAAAGAATCAGTTTGGAAAAACTACCTGAAATGCCTTTTCTCTTAAAGAGCAACATTATGTTTCACTGTTCTATTAGATTTCGAGTTTATTGAGCATTTTTCACACTAAAACACTGTTACAATTAAGTCGTAATTTAAATAGAAGACCTCTAATCTACAAAACAATACAAAACTTCCAATCAGGACATGCTAAATATTGTAATCAACTGGAGCAAGGTTTTTTAATATGGCTATATTTTTCTTGTCGTCGAGCACATTTGATTAATTCGGGTTCATTTTGAACAAATGTAAAAAAACTCATTACAATTCAATCGTATTTTTAATTCAGCAGCTACAGTTTCACTTAACATTGAATTTCGACTATTTGTCCATAAATGTTTCATATGACTAAAAACGTCTTCGGTAAATGCATTAGAACATGAAATCGAATAGACGTAAGAAATCAGCTTTGTCGTTTCATCACAATGTGTTGTTATTTTGATAATTAAGAACGTCCAAAGTTGATCAGGTCGAATTTTATGACAACTATCTTGATGATTTTGTGCTTGTGTTAGTATTTTGTTAACAAGTTCTTCATCATCTAATTCTTCAAATACTTCATTAACCATTTGTTTTTTGATTTCATGACCACCAACATATTTTTCAATTTGAACAAATAATGATTCACGATAAGAATTAACTTCTTTATATGTATTTTGTAAACTAATAATTTCCTCGAATAATTTGTCATGATCAACTGCAAGATTAAGAATAGCAACACACTTTGCAATTTGATCGAATTTTATTTGATCGATTTCAGTTATTCCTATTAGCAAATAGCATTATTTTGTTCGTGTTTATTCACAAAAAACATACCAAAAATAGCTACTGATTCAGCTAATAATGAATGTTCATCATAATACTTGTGTATGTATTGAATGATACTTCCCAAATATTTTACAAATGAAGAAATCAATTTCTCGTGTACATCTTCAGGCATTGCATTTAGTAATATTCTTGTTTGTTGTCCAAAATACTTTTGTTCTAATCGATCATTCAATTTTTTAAGTAAACTCGTAATAATCCGATGCAAATCGGCAATTGAAGTGCCATATCGTTGAAGTTCCAAATTCTTTGTTTGAATATCAAACAAAACTTGATGTAAAAAATGTAATGTGCATTTGGCTACATTTGATGGAAAAAAAATTTGATCGAAGGTGGACACTTTGCTTCATCCTCAATATCCATATTTAAAAAATAAGCAGATGATGGATTATATACTTTTAATAGACGTGCAATTGATATATATAAAGTAAGCCAACGAATTTCTATATGTTGTAATAAACACTAGAGATAATAGTTTGTAATTTATATAAAAATATAAAGCGAAAACTACAAATACCTACCAGATAATCTTCTTCAACAAATTCAAAATATTCTTTTAGTTCTGCAACTCTTTTAGATGATGAACTAAAATGACAATACAGCTGAGATAAACTTGATTCAATATCAACTAATAACAGGTGATGAGAAATTTTCACTGAGCTGTTAAGGATATGACAATAGCAGTTGCCTAATAAAGAATAAGATATTTTTCTGAATCTCTTGAAATTTTGAAATTGTTATTGTAATATTACCTTTGAACAAATTTGAAACTTCAGATTTTATTAAACTAAATACAGAATGATTGTGGCCGAAATTTGTATTAGTATTATCAGCACCAATAGGTGTTATATATTGAATATCAATACCATTCATTTTTAATACATCACGTAAAGAAGCTACAATATCATCAGTTGTTTCACGGGGTTGATTAGTAACTTCTAATACAGATTTTACTAAACCTGATTGAAGAGTAAAACGATTAATGATAAATGGGAACATTTTGACATTTCTTTTACTGGATCCATCAAAAGATACAGAATAAAAACGATACTGTTTTACTTGTTGAAGAATTTTGGATGTGAAGAAAGGAGCTAAAATTAAAACCACTTTATTAATAAAAAAAGATAAATTTAAAGTACTATTATTTTCTAAATATAAATATAGATAATAGGCTTCTATTTTTGCTAGTGATATAAGTTTTACAGCAGTAGATATATTATCTTACCAAGAACATTTACTGATAATTCACGTGCTTTTGTTTTACTGCAACTAATATTTTGTCCTATACTGGATTCATGAAAAACATTTTTCACAAGATCAACTGTTCATGATTGACTAACATAACTATGTCCATGATTGACTAACATAACTATGTCCATGATGTACACCGTGATATACGAAAGCAAGTTCAGGAGCAGTTAGTTTTGTTAAAACACTTGATGCAGTTACAAAATCATTCATCGAACGTGCTTAATGATAAAAAAAATCAGTTAAATATAATGTTATAGTGCGTCGATAATATTTTTTACATTTTTCTCTCGTTTGTACTTCAACTAAACGTTTATGAGTAACTTGTTCAAGATGTCGATTAATCAAATATGTTCCCCATTCCCAATCGAAAAGTCTGATTTGCAAATCGAACAATGTGCAAGATACGGGCTTGCCTTACATTCCTGAAGAAAACCTGCATATTTCGGATCTTTTATCCATTGTTTCTTAAAAACACAAAGACGTTTAGTTTTTGATGACGAATTATTTTTTTCTTTGGCTTCTGTGGTTGACTTTATAGTAGAACAAAAAGATTTTTCGGTTGCTGCTTCCGGTTCAGATTCTTCCGATATTTCTATTTCATTTTCTTTATCTGATGCCAAGTAAAGATCCGTATCATCATCCATAGAATAATACTTGAATCTAAATAATTATATAATTATTATACATCAGTCAAATACTACACGAAGGCATAGATATAACGAAAAAAGAAAAGACTCATCAAAACTTATTTTGATCTGAAGATAGAAAAAATTTAGATACAACAAGACTAAATGAATAAAACAGATCCTAATAATTATTGACTGATTTTTCACCAATATTGTTCACTATAAATATCGCTATAGTGACGCTATGAGCTTCATCTTCATTGTAAAACACAATTTATATATACCAAGAATCAGTTTATGACATGAAAAGCTTAAAAGCTCAAATGGGGTACAAAATATGTGTCCCAGGGGTACAATATTTTTGGTGGGCACAAAACCCCAAAATGGGGTACACTTGGCAGCCCTGTAGGTATCCGACATTGCCAAATTCGTTTTTCGTTATGAATAGTATTTTAACAGTAGATGTCTAAGGGTTCTCAAATTGATCACAGTCACGAAGTCTCCATGAATCTAAAGCTCGAAGTTCTCAATTGAGGCTTACTCAGAAAGCCTTCATCTCCGTCAATGCCATTGTCTTCCAATTAAGATATCCGGTGTCTGTTCGAACCCTATAGCACCACACTCTCGCTATCAATAAAAGCCAGGATGCTTGCTAAAGTCAGAGTCTTCAAGTCCTAAACTCTGTAAGCTCTCCTAAGTCAAACTTCTGCGATCAGTCGAGATATGAGAATACAGTAATTCGTCAGAATTCATTTCATAAACCTAAATGAAAGAAAAGCAATACATATAATTGAATAAAACAAACTCGTCATTTCGTCTTGTATGTGGAAATTTAAATGCAGAAAAAGAATATATTTTATTGAAGAAAATAAGTTCACTATATTATAGTTCTGTTCATGACTTTTAATGAAGAAAAATATGTTATGAATCAAAGTGAACATAAAAATCTCAACTTGACATATTTAGAAGTATTACTATTTCAAAATAAAAAAGCTTGTTAGTGCAGCCCCTTTGGGGCTAACATGTGGAACTCACATATATCCCTTCGGCTTACTAAAATAATTCAAAATAGTTCATCTGAAAAATCTACCCTGATTTCCAAAACCTATAATTACGTCATTGCCTATTTGCTTATGTCTGCAATCGAGTATTAATTATTAGCTGGTAAATTTAACAATGGCAGATACTAGTTTCTACGGTCTGTAATGGTACCGTAAGCTAGTTACTATGGTCTGTAATGGGTAACCATTGCATTTTCGTGTATTCTGTAATTAAAAAAGGAAGAAATAGCAGCCTAATTAGTCAAGTTCCTAATTAGTACAATTTTAAACTAATTAATGTCTGTAACGGGAGCCGCAAAAGTCTCGCTTATAAACTTACACTCACCATTTTCTTCGGAAATATATGTGAGTTCCACAAAATAAGATAAAAATTGGTAATTTATGTGTAATCTTTGAGCTGCCCTCTGAAATCATAAAATAAATTCAATCGTAATGTATGAGTAGAAAAACATTTGAAACATGTGTTTCAATAGGCGACGCTAAATAAAAACTTATTTTTTAACCGTAAGCATTGAAGATGAAGGAATAAAAAGGTAAAAAATGGTGATCATTTGATCATAGAATAGCTTCGGTGGGCACTTTAGACAATTTACTTTTAAAATCAGTAACTATATCGTCATTCGACTTAAACTTATGTAACTCCCCATCCCCACCTCCCAGAATAGAACGACATCCTCAAATATTTGATTTCCTAGACATAATAGAACGCCATGGCAATGAAATTTTTGTGCATATAGAGTGTATTGTCTTACAGATAGCCGAAATACACATTTTTTCATTCATCCACGATAGAAAACAGTAAAATCAACGAATAGAGCGCATTAGAGTGCTTGAAATGAATAAACTAGCAGAAAAAAAATGCAAAACCAATAGCATAGTTATACATAGAATTCGCCGAAAAATCCTTTATGGAAGGCCATCTCCAATAGAACGCCACCACAAAACGAGAAATTCGAAAGATCATAACAGAAAGCCACGACTTCCAAATCTGGAGTGGATTTAGGCATACTGAAACATCCTCTACATTCCACAATAATAGATCAAAGTATTCATCTATAATAATAACAAGCACAATCCTTAGTAATTTTCATGTACTGTGTGCACGCATCTTAGTTTGGATAACAATATCAGAGTGCTTGAAGAACTACCGTTAATTCTTCTTGTTGCGAGTCGAATTCAAAAAATATTTGTGTTTTGGTACATTTGTCAGACATGAGTCTTCTTTGGGAAATAAAAATGTATCAAGAGAAAATAAAAGATGGGTGTAGGTGTGGGTTTGAATTTCAGTTAGGGTAATGCAATGAAGGACACCATGCCCACACCCAAACCCTCAAGAGCTGGTGGTTCGATGGACAAACAGAAAAACGTACGAAACATTTAGACATGAAGAATCTGTTGTGAACCCTATTCATTCATCATTGATTAGAAACCAATGTCTAAAACTATTGAAGTAAGGTTAATCTATTTTCTAAGTATCTCTACGCATTACAATTTTGCACGATTCAGTCCAAACTTCATTGAATTCGTAACACAATACACATTCATAGGTCTCCATTTTCAGATTGACGAATGATTTGGATAATGTTAAAAATAAAAAAAATTTCTTCATATGTAAGTTCCATAAGAACAGTTTGAATAAACGACATCTGGAGCATCTCAGTATAAGAACCAGGTCGTTCTTCTGGCTCTGTTTTCAATCTTTCAAATATATGAAGATATTATAATTATAATGATATTCAAAGTAGAATTACTCACAGTTGTAAAATGAGTCCTCGGATATCGTCAGGTATCATACCTTCGAGAATGTTACGATTCCATTCTGCAAGTAATAAGGCCCGGTCGATGTCATTTGAAATAGGACACGGATGTTGACCAAGAATAGTTTCGACTACACTAATTCCCAAGGCCCACATATCACTTCGAGTAGAGCTTGGCGCAGGTGGATTCCGTACAAGTTCAGGTGAAAAATAGGCAATAGTTCCTATAGGAACGTTTTCTGTTGAATTCATTCCGCAACAAGTCCCATAATCACTTAATTTAAATACACCACTATCATTGACCAGTATATTGTCTGGTTTTATATCTCGATGTAAATAATCTTTCACACCCAAAAATTCAAGTGCTGAAGTAATCTGTGTAAGATAAAGTTATTGAAAAGAAAATAACTAAAGTGCTCGTTACATTGTGCATCACACGAAGTACAAGACACTTGAGATTGTTAGGATCAATGTCTCCAACTCGATGCATAGTTTGATAGAATTTTGTCAATGTTGTATCCATTAACTCCATGCAAAGGCACAGTTCACTATGGATCTTGAAAACAAAAATATAAATATAAAATTTACACGAATCTTCACTTACTCTATCAATCATTGCGCCATAGTATTCGATAAGATATGGACAATCACCGATACAAATTTCTTGCATAACCGTGAGTTCAGTTTTTGTTGCAGAGGCTCGTTCTTCTTTTGTTGAAAGTGAAATACGCTAGAAAACAAATATACTTTGTTACTCAGCATTCACATAGACTGACCTGGGCACGTGTGCCAACGCTAACAGGCAATGCGTGTGCAGATAGATCTACAGAAGACGGGTGCTTCATCTCTTTCATTCTCGAATAAGCATTTAGTGGACTTGATAATACATAATTTCCAAATTAATTCTTGTTATTCTCCTTTTTTTTAAATCGTGCACTGATTTATTACTGTTTTTACTTACTCTTCGACAATTATTGTGAACTTTAAATGATGCCGCCCGAGGGCTACTGTTTCGGTAGTAAGTGCCCTGGAAGCAAATATCCGACGATAAGCGTTACAAAAGCATCTTTCGTGCAATTTTGAGAGACATTAAAATGGTACTGGATTAATTTTAGCTATTCTTTTTCTTAATATTGACTAAGAGAAAAAACAGTCATGCTTCTTAATAAGAAGTTCTTATTAAGAGGGGATGAGATAAAAATTTTGATCTCACATGAAAAAAAATACAAACGAGTGCCTGAGCATCTGCATAATGTAGAAACAAAATATAATAGTGCATGATAGATCGAATTATCTCTTAGAGAAAGTTACGTACTTTGACTGCTATTTGAAAATCGGGATCCGTGTTAATGCTGACGTGATCCACTGAACCAAAGTTTCCCTGGCCGATGAATCTAATGAATTCTAAATCTTCTGCAGTGGCTTCAGTTATTTGATCGTTATACTTGAGTAGAGATGGATTCTCGAATGATTCGAACCTGTAAAAAAGAATTAACAGAAAATAAGTAAATCACTCAGTGCTTTACCAACATGTGACTGGCTTTTCTTCTATCACAATAGTATATGTTGTGGCATTTTTTTCTAAAATAAGATAACATATGCAACATTAGAAGCGCTTTCTAAAACATGAAGTCAGTGACTGATATTCGTTGACTATTTTTTAGTATATTATGAGAGATTATCCTGCTAGAGTAACTCATAAGTGAATATGTTGGTGTATGATATAGTTATAAAAATATAAATTGGGGTCAAGCTATAAGTTATGTCATACGTTTCTATATCTGAGAAACAGAAAGCATAATTTTCGTCAATCATTTTATTTAAACATTACACGAGCAATATGGATACACTACATCCGTAACAGATTCTTACTTCTTTTCCCAGTCGACGCTTTTATCGAGACTTTTTCTAGTTCCGTCCCAATGTCAGAAGCCAAAAGTTGAACCGTATTAGAAACGTCAATATAATCGTTGATTAATGAACCTAAAACAGATTATTCATATTTATTATAACTTTCATTCAGGAATAGTTCTTAGAAACTTACTGAATTCAATAGTTTGTGAACTTTCAACATCACTAGAACATGTTGTTGCACCCCATAATTGTTGCGCTCTGTACACATTTTCATCATTGTTATCCCATGGATCTATAGTTTGTCTCTCATCAGCTAGAATCAGCAATATAGGCAAGCATGTTTTATTTCTTTACAGTAAGCTCTTCAATCAAGAACTCTTATTTAACACTTACATAAAATGGTCGATTGAAAATCCATTGTTTCTTCGGATGGCATGATATTCTGGCCTGAATCCTCTGTAGTTTGATTGTTTTCATCGTAATTTTCAGTATCCACATCGACGGAAAACTTCTCGTCTGGCGGGTTGCCATCATCATCCATTGTATTTACGTAATATTAATCTAAAACATGAAATATTTTGTTGTATATCGAAGTATCAATTATTTAAATTAGAATCATGCTCGTCTTCTGTCTATTTAATTTGATATAACTCACATGAGAATTGATGGCACCTCACTAAAGATGTGTAAACAAGGAAAAGAAATAGGCGTGTTGCAATGACAATGCTGTGAAGTTGACAAGTTTCTGATTCTGTTTCATTTCAGATCTATATATCACAGTGAAAAAAATTCAGACGAAAGTTTCACCAAGAAGAAAGAGAGAGTTTTAATATTCATAGATTACTATGATGTTTAATCTCATTGATTTCAGATAACTGATTACAAATGCTTTTCTTTTAATTGATCACTTACTTTGGCTAGGATTGCGAGCTTTGCTTTTTATTTTAGGACGGTGCATTGAAAAGGCATAAGAGTACGCTTTACAACCTTTCTGCTAGCGTGTTGGAAACCCTCACAGATAAACAAGTTTATCTCGGATTAATTTTTTTCGCGAATACAAGTTGTAGAGTACCGAAAGTAATAAGTAAATGACTAAAAAAATGAACTTAAATGTAATTAATTTTGAGTACTAATAATAATTGCGAAACTATTACAATAATATGAATCTTTGTTTTATTTAATGTGTCATGTTGAGGATCCAGAAAATTTTGCCAACAAATATAACATTGAGAATGAAACAGATGATTTTAGACGAACGAATTCTATATTTAGTGAAATAAATACAAGTAACGGAAAGATCGTTGATTTGGATGCATAGCCAAGAAATGTGTACTCATACATGTTATTCTGTGAGAAAATTACATAGCAAAATTTAAAAAAATTAATTAAAGCTGTTTATTATAGAAAGCTAGCTAACAAGAGGCCCATGTTTCATTCAGTATCTCTTTATATCCACTAATCATTTATTTTCATTTTTACATTCTGTAGAGCTAAATTAGTGAAAATAAGTTGAGTTTCTTTCTTTCGTAAATTGATTAGGAAACAGAAAACCAATAACATTACTTAAACTCGACCGGGAAAAACAACAACATTCTGTCCTGTTGGCGACATCTCTAATATCCATGAAGAAGTTTAAAAATTCATATTACGTCACTAACTATCATGTAAATCAGATGGTTCGCATAATTGTCTCAGTAACTATGCATCAACAATAAAGTTATTATTAGTAAATTGTCACTTATCTAACTAGACACCATCTATAACATCTACAACATAAGCGCACTCGACGTGAATCATGATTTCCACTAACGAAGCAAAGTGATTTTTGTGAATCTAAACAAAAATCTATTAGTGAAATCCGCTTCATTTGTATCGTAAATAATGCAATGCTTCTTTTTGAAAAGTCTACATGAAAATAAATACTTTACCTCTCATTTGACAAAGTAATGTAAAATATTATATTGCTCGTAGATAAGAAAAATATTTGCATTCTGTTACATGCAGAGACAGACACCGCATAAAAACGATCGTGAAATTTCTCTTTTTTCTCTCCTTACTGACAATCGTTGGAACAAGAGAAAGGGTAAAAACAACGATTTGTCGATAGTATAGCAATTCTTTAGTAGAAAATAAAAAGTAAATATGAAATAAAGCCAAACACTGATTCGATGCCCTACACTTGAAGACAAGAAATACGCTGAAGGCATACTTTTTCATCGGAATGTTTGTACCGTTGTGTGCAAAGGTATAAAATATTTTTAACAAGCCCTGATTTGCATGAGTGTTAACGGATGATTAATCTAGCAATTAAAAAAATCGATGTTTTCTTCTTATTTTGTAGTGAACAACTTAACATAATATGTATGAGCGAACTAGGAAAGAACCTCAGGACACTTGAAAAAAGTATATTGATATGAAAAATACCTATACTACATCAACATGAAAGGAAAGAGGAAATACATATTTGTACGATAGCAGAACAGAAGAAAACGAACCAGAAAATGAAAATACCATATATATCTGACTCATACTGTAACTATTAGTGAAAACAGAAAGAGGTGCTGTTGAACTTGAGCCAATAGCGGATTGATGCTTGCCATCTAGAAATTACGTAGCATGAATCATCTTGTCAATCTATAAAATTATTAACACCGACTAATCAATATTGATTTTTAAACAACTTTACATACAGCGTTTAGATAGACGTTCAGAATTTCTACGTGCCTCATCAAGTTCGTGCACAGTTACGAGTGCCTTATAGTGAGTTCCAACGTTGACAAGAAATGCAGTATGCTCAACATGTCCATCACGTGGATTTACTACTGTCAGTAATTCTCCAGCACGAAAAATAACCAGCTGAATGTGATATAAGTCGGCTATAGCCATATTCGCCATTTCATCTCCATATGTGTTTGAATCAGCCATTAAATATGCCCAGGTTTTTAATTCTTGCTCACTCACTTTTTCTCCAGGTCGAAGTACAGTTGAGTAATAAGATATATCATTTAAGACATGTCGAATAGCCTTCTCTCGTAGTTCACTTTGATACACATCAGGTTTCTGCAACCCTGTATTTCGGTAAAATATTCTATATAAACTTTTTAATTTTCACAGGCTACTTACCCGATATTAAAGTGGCTCGAAAAGCACATGCCTGTTAAGTAAAGTATTAAAGCAAAAAATAAGAATGACAACACATTTATGGAGGGAATTGCGCTGGTATTGTATCGTTGTATTAAAATTGTTAAGTCATCATTTATTTTTATTTTCCCTTGCATCAATTATTGAATGAAGAAGTTCAAAGTCAGTGATCTTAGGTAGTATCTATTGCTAAAATTTACTTCTCTCTCTGAAAAATGATTTATTGATTGAGAATGCTACTGCCACTGCCTAGACACCCTCAAAATATGCATAGTCTCATTTAGAAAATATATTTCATCCAGAAAATCTCGGATAACAGTCATTTTAGTATTAGGTACAATACCAGTGAAACTCATCTATGTATATATCGATTCTTACACCATCCCCAGTGACTTCAACTGAATAAAGTCCAAACTGACGTTGTATCTCGAGATCCAGATTGTATAAATCAACATTTAAGTTGCTTTTTGCTGTAGTAGTTAACTCAAGTAGACGTTTACCGTCTGCATCGGCCATAAAACGTTCGTTTCTCTCAGTTGAGGCAATGATCTGTGCCATTTCATCGTATACATCTGGTATTGAATCAAGCTTCTTGCTTGTGACCAACTCGCCAAGTAGCTCTATACGACTTCGTATTCCTTCACAGGTTGGTTCTAGAAGTCGAGATACCTGATAAATGAAATAAAAGGTTAAAAGAATACAGTTCCTCAAGATAAAGTGCTTATCAGCTATTTGAAACTGTTCCGAATCGAAATGGTTACTTGTAATATTATATTTTTATACTAGGTTTCTAGAAATAAAATCAGTTGAAGTTTTTAATAGCCCATATTTTAAAGAAAGAAAAATGCTCTTAATACTAAACCGATGAGTGATAATTGCATTTGATTTTGCTCTCTTCAGATTGATCGACTTTCGATATGCTGTTCTTAGTGTTGTTGCTTGTTCGATACATTGACGTCGACTTATTTTCTTCCAAATCTTTAAAACTTGATACATTGTTCGGAAATTCTTCCGATTTTTCGTCATCTTTTTGAAAAGCCATTGGTAGAGATTTTCTCTTTTGCATATTTGGAATTCTTGACTGCTGGTTTTCGGGATTCATGGACATCGATCTTTGGTATTGGCGTTTCTCAGCTGCTTGTTCATTTTCCAGAGTATTGCCGGATATGAACTGTTTGTTGCGTAGGTTATCTGTTTCAATAGTGTCATAAACATGTTCGTTAACTTCAAAATTATCCGCTGTCGACATGATGCTCTTGCAACTTTGGAGTTTTCCTGTCTTAACAGTGGAGTCAGATTGTTCGGCATCATATCGTTGCATATCGATCGCATGTGTTCGCTCTTGGCTATTACCCGAGTTTACGTTGCTGCTATGTCGAAGATCGAAATGGATTTTATTTGGTTTCAAGTTATCTTCACCATCTTCTTTATTCTTAACAAAACGATACAAATTTTAAAGACAATTCCAAATTCGCTCAATTAGATAGTAAATGTGAAGATCTTTAATATTAGCAATAACTTAGCTAGCCAGATTACATATCTGGTTCAAATGGAATAAGAGTGATAATTGATAAAAATCAATGTTATATTATCCAGTTACTACAGGATATACTGTATTTTTCACTATTTTCCTAGGCACATGCATGCTCCAAAGTTCGGCACACTTAACTTCATGAGAGAGAAAAATTCAACTATGTATTTGATGCATTTTTAAAATGATAAATAAATCAGATGGCTGGTCTTAGGTATCTTTATGATGTTGTAGTTTCTAAATAGATAATTTGAGAAAGAAGAAAGATACAAATGTATGGTTCCATTTATCCTATCAATTGCTTTTGCTAAGACTTAAATTGTCAATATCAAAGAACTTTGCATACCTGTCTGGTAATGTTGTCCAAGTTTGTATTTGATGCCATTTTTAATGCTTTGTTTGTTTTGCCTATGCAAATTCTAGGAAATCAAAGAAGAGTAAATGATCGATAAGACGTTGTAGATCTTTGCAAAATTCGCACTGATTGAATTTTTTGGTTTAATTCATGAAAAACTATTCAAACCTATATTGGTTAACATATATGATTATAGGCAAAACTTTAGAGTGGCTGTTCCGTCGCGAGTTCAAGAAAGGTTCTCACAACATAATTACTTTCCGTCGCATAAAGCTAAACTTAAGTTCTATTTTCTGTACTTTGCATCAGCAGCCACCTTTAACAAAGAGCTGCGCATATTTTGTGTTTTCATACAGATAATCAGCTTATAAAACCATAGAGAATCACAGCTCTTGTTTTTTTTTATTTATCAAAGTAGTCTCTCTGATCAATTTTTACGTACCCCATGTAATTTGAAGATTTCTTACTTTGTAAAGATAGTCTGGTTTCGTTACAGTCAAATACTGCTAAAGTTGTATCTGAAACATAAGAAACAAACAAGATGATCGACTTATCCAGTCAATTTTGCTATCATCCACGAATCCAATTCTAGAGCTCTATAGAATCATAACAGTGAAATGACCATGAAGTATATTCAAGCGTGGATCAGTGTCGTTTTGACTCATTCAAATGAAATCTTGATAATAATGTGTGGGCTTGCATTAAAGATCCGATTACGTTCTGAACTTTATTAATTATAAAAATGCTACATCATCTAGAACCCAGCACTTTCAAAGGAAAGTATCTGCAAAGCTTTTGCCCATATGAGTTTAATTTCTTTTATTTTGTGATTGAAGAACTTGATATAATTTAGAAAGGTGATATGCTCAGACTATTTTAACAATTCTCAACGATGTTATTAAAATATTTGGTCATCACGTCGTGTAAGACGATGTGACAATATGAAAAAAGCGATTTTTGAAATCAGCATAAGATATTCTTAGATTCTTCTAGAGTGTCATAAATAAATCAAACATGGATACTGATAAACTCATTTTGAAATGAAATAATGTGGATATACTGGCCTCTTCATATAGGGAAATAAGCTACTCTCGTGGGCATTCTTACTGTTTCGCCATCATTCTCTATAGTTTCAAACAATGTTATCAGTGGCAAATATAGAAGTTCAATGGTGTGCTGTTCTGAGAACACTTCATCTTGGTATTCACTTTTTTAGTGATGCATAGATGAATACATTAGCATATTATATGGGCAAGAAATAATCTAGATCTAACGAAATAAATCATTCTTAAGCATGAATAAATCAACGATTAACATTCTTGATTATAGAACATATAAGATAAAAATAAGTGTATCGAGTTAAGTTGAGAAACCAAATTTAAAAAGGTTTATCTTACAGCATTTTGGAGTATCGGTATATCTATAAGTGTCATATATACAAGGGGGTAACATCGTACTTTGACTCCTCAAAGTACAAAAGTATATCAAAGTATCCCGAAGTATTTGGAAGTACCTCGAAGTACAAGGAAATTCTTTAAAGTAAATTCTTTGAAACACTAAATTGCCCAAAATTTATTCTCGTTTCTTGCATTGATAATAAGAGTGTCTTGGCTTAGCTAGGAATTGGTAATTTCTTAAATCAAAAATTAAGGAAAATTTTGAGGGTGTCCGGTTTCAAAAGAAAATATTAATTTCTTGTACTGTATCACAACAATATGTTCTCAGCTTACCTACCCAGGATAATCATTCAGACAGTAGGATTCTATCAGATTCCGACAAGGGTCAGCCAGTGAATATACCGAATACCATATATGTTTCAATAAAACCGACGAAATCTTATGGGATTCCTGGACACGGACCTGCATTCGGATCCTTGATATTGGATCCGATCGGATCAGATGTCGGATTTAAACGGAATTCAACTCTATTGAATCACCCTTGCGCTCGGATGGCTCAAAATGGTTATTTGATCGTGAATAAGAAAATTATTTTTTCCGTCGGANTCGGATTCATTCACCTGGGTAGGAGGCAGATTCAATACCATTGGACATGTTCTAGTGTCTGAATGAAAGCCTATCCAAGGGTAAAACGTCGTACTTTTCTACTTTGAACTATACAACTAAGCACAAAAGTATTTCAAAGTACCCCAAAGTACCTCAAAGTACCACGAAGTACCTCAAAGTATTTCAAAGTACTTCAAAGTACAAAAGTACGATGTTTCCCCCTTGCATATATATATATATATATAAGATCTCTGAATGAATATATTAACTAGAATATGGTCCCTTAGAAAATAAAAATTTGATGTTTTATGTAGTATTCAACATACTGAAATTTGCATTGTGAAAACATGCGTATGATATTTTAGTTCAAGACAGGTTGTTTGACTCGTCAAAGTCCTTTATAATCGTATTTAGATTCATCGTGCACCTTTCAGGTATTCCTAGTTATGTACTAAAATATTAGTCTAGTATAGTTACCAAAATAGCGTAAAATACTACTCAAGCATAAAATAAAGCTTTTAGTATTCTTATCACACTCAAAAGTCTAGGATTATTAATAAAATGAAACAAAAAAGAATTCGGCTGCCGAATCTTATTTGATCACATGAAAAATGGTTAGTATAAGTATAGATCCTTGTATAAGTCAAGCATGGGATCATGCTGCAACATCTGAAACGTTCATTAGTTCAATGAATAATACTTGCAACTTGATTTACAATGTCTTATAAAGCCATTTGTCTTCTTATCGAGGTCAATCTTACCAAGACAACTCCAACAAAATCGTTGTCCACAATAGTTTCGTCCTCCATGATCACACGCGTCTTTCGATTCTGCACAAGTATGAGATCCAAAACGACAACAAGTCATGACGTCACATCCCTCATGTTTCATAATTGGAGTACCACATGCTTCGTTCGGACACTTTTTAGTAAACGCTAGTACAGTAACGTCAGAGGCCAAATCATCATTTCGAGCTCGCTCGGCCTCGAACTCATCACAAGTAAAACCTTTATGCCATTCAATTGAATGACAAAAGCATAACATTTGCCCACAAGCGTGGCATGTATAATACCTAAAAATGAATAGCGATTCAATTGTGAAATCGAATTGAAAACTATAGTACTAAACTAGGTGTGGCTGTGTTCATGTTTTCCTGAGCCACCATTACAGCTGAAAAGGGGTCTATTAGATTGTATGCTGATCCATATCTTCACAGATATTAAGTGCCTTCGGGTAGAATCCGTATCTATAAACCGTCTATCAACCCGACTCAGACCTGAGTTTGCTTTCTAACCACATACTAGAATTCTGAACTCGGAAAGTAAAGAATACTAATTAATATGCTTATGCTCATAGAATTACCACCAAATTACTTCGAGAAACATAAATGACTATGTCTGTTGTTTAATTTCAGAGGGGAAAATGTCTTCTATAACAAAAGCGACTATAAAAACAGACAGGTCCCAAGCCCATATTTGTGACTTAGAATATGTGATGATCCTATTCTATGTCGCTTCTCGGTTTAAAAGGCGTGTAGTATCATGTGCCCAGGTTCGAACCCGAAATTCTTGACACAACAGCCTTTAAGACATCTCTACACCCGAATTACGTGCAGTTCACAGCCTGGAAATGTCTTATCCCGAGCCTTTTTATACTCTTCCTTAAATGACTACTATTTTTATTCAAATAAATAATATAAAATATAACTATGATGTTTCAACAGTTAAACTGGCCTTCTTCATATGATGTTGTACATGAATGCGTAGATATTCTTTTTCTTTTCTTTTATACAGTACGATAGCGAGACAACAAGGCGGTCAAACTTATATGAGATATGAACTATTTGTCTTATATTTGCCTCCCACTATCATAACATAACAATATTAAAAAAAATAAAATAATACCTATTCATTCATGTACAACATCATCTGAAGATGACATGCACAATTATCGAAACGTCATAGTAGTATTTTATTTTATTTACTTGAATAAAAAGAAAAATAACTTAAGGAAGAGCATGAACAACACTTAAATATCAATGACTATACGCTTTTTAATGAACCGAAAACAATCTATCAACACAAATTATGCAAGCTCAGTCGTTGTTTATTTAGTCCACTGGATGGCACAAATGAATTACAAAGCAATTCTCATAAAATCAATTCTTTAATAATTCTGTATTGAACAATAACTAGAAAAATTCTTACGGGGACTATCAGCGTCAACTATATGTTGCATCAGCTACTAAACTCTACACGGTTTTCCTATTCTTGAGTGGCTATGGAAATGCGTCGTGGTGAACGAGATCTAGGAAGACATACTGTATGTATCGGTAAAGACAAAGACAAATATAACGAGGACTGATATATGGATGTTACGAAACGACACATATAAGGAGGATCTAGATGTTGGGCCTGACGTTCAATGGCGAATCTTGCAAGATACGTATAATGCATGGTAAATCCTGAAAGACATGTATACACGCTAATAGACTCTTAGAGACTCCTGTTAAACTTTGTTTGCTTTTATCAAGTGTTTTAAATGTTGTGAGACACATGTGGCAGCCGTTATCGCATTGTTATCTACGATACACCATCGTCAATGATATATAATGTTGTGGGTTCGTTAGGAGCTTATGATACGCTGTTTAAGTATACATATATTATAATTTCGTAGACATGTGTATACGTTATAGATAGAAAATGTAAATCGGCTCTATCATGTAGACATATACATTTTGAAGTATTTTGTTATTCATTTGTGTCACGAAGTCGCAATATCATTACCTTGTCCTTTTGAATGTATTCCTTTTTTCATCGGTGTTGCAAATTCACGACGATGAAACTTTTTTAACAGCAAGTCTCAATCGTATTACTCGCCGGATAAATCTTGAACATCAATATTATTGTTAAAAACGTGATCTTCCGACAAGTCAATATCAGATGACAATATAGTTTTTTTATATACCAAACAAAGAAATAGGTATAGGAATTCTGTAAGCCTGACGGTAAAGAAATTTGAGAACGGTAACAAACATTTTTTTGCGCTCATGAATACGAACAGGAAACTGAACCCGAGAAAAACTGCTCCGTAGACACTAGCACCCTAATCAAAATTAATATAAGTTGTCTAGCATACCCAAGCAAATCTTTGTAATTGCAGACGAGTTGCCCAGCTCCGCATCCCTTGGTTGATTTACACCATCTGAATTCTTCATTAGTTTCCAGTAGTCGATGTAGCAACAAATTATCGACTATGCCCATGAGTCGTGCATCTAGTAAACAATAATATTCTTCAGGTTCGAATTTGACGGTGCATGTCGGCATTGGACATCGAAAGGTATAAGATCCTTTCGATTCGATATCAGTGGCAAAACTTTGTGTCAAACATGCAACGCAGCAGTTTGATAAATGCGCACATTTCTTTGATAGATTGACCAATCTAATATTAACTTCTGAGCAGATTGAACACTGCCCTTCTCGTTCGTAGGAGCATTCAAAATTCATGCGTTCATTATGATGAGAAGCTGAGTTAACAAGCAACCGTATCTTCAAATTTATAATACGGAAAGTTCGGCGCTACTCGTCTTTGATCACATCATTTCAGATTCGAACTGCTGTAGAAAGTAGATGATGAAGCATTGCTGGAAATTGATGAAGTTGACTTTGGTATTGTATCTTTTGTCACAGGTCTGGAAGGTTTCGACTAAAAGTATATTTGAAACTTCAGAAGCAGTAAAAAGTATCATATTGACTTTCTTACCATGTCAGTGTGCAGCTTACCTGTTCTGGTGTAGAAATTTTTGATTTTTTTGCAACGTTGTGCGTGCACGATATTTTTCTGTTTTTGTTTTTAGGGTTCCGTGAAGGTAATGTAATGCATAAGGAAGAACAAAATAAATCATTTTTCTTTTCTTTTTTTTCATCTATGACAATCATGCGCTACCATGCTAAAGTGATGTTTACTTTTCTTTTATTTTCACTTCATACAGGGCAACAAGAATTTCCAACCAATGGGAGCCAAAGCATCGATGTTTCTGTAGCTGTTTCCTGATGGCGTTAAGATTCCGGTTTAACCAAACAGGCATCGATTGGAAACTTTAAAATGATGAAATCAAGAATTAAGGCTTGGGGGTGTGGGTGTTAATCTCATGCAAATCTCCTAGCCAATATTCCACACATACACACCCTAATATATGTTATAGCTTTAATATCTCCTACAATTTTGTCTTAACTAAACTAAATGTGAATAGGTAAAAAAGTTAAACTTATTCTGAAGGATTACATCATTCGTTAATTATTAATATTAAAGAATAAGGTGGGATGTGTCAAGAATCAAAGCACAACAAAAATAATATTATATATCAATGAAATCAACGAAAGTTAACGCTTAAATCTAATAAAACAATTGAAGTAATTTTGCTACACAATCACGAAGACGAACATCTAAATAGCCTTGATAATTATTAATCATCATATGATTTGAATGAAATTAAAGTTATTTTTTAGTTTCTAGTTTGATTTTCTTAACCGTATGAACATATTAAGCGTCGACAAAAGAATATTTCAATGAACTGATGCACCATTATTAAGCATCAGTCAATTAAAGGAAGATCCCCATTCATTTTTAGTATTAACAAAAGACTCAAATCCAATTCAATTATTATCTTTTATTTCTTTATATCTCATTAAGTATTGTTAATACATATAAATAAGTTGAAAAAAAACAAAAATGAAATGGTTATACTAGATCGAATCGACAAATATATATTTAGAGCTAAATTGCAATTCTAAGTTTGCTGATCTGAACTAGAATTCCAATACAAATCAGAATTTTTTCGGGCAGCATTGGAATCCTGATTTCGCCGAGACATAATTAGGATTCGACTAGAGATAAATTTATATAGTCATGTGTTTTACTTAAAAAATGTAGCGAAATGAAAAAACAACAACTTAAGTTTCAGTTATCGTACCAATTGAGATCTGCCCGAGTCGCATGAATTCTGAGCTCTGACAGAATCAAAGCTCTTGATTTATAGAAAATAGACTTATATGATGCTCTGGCGTACAACTCTGAGATCTCCAGAAATACATAGAACTCCAGGAGCTCTAGGATGTTGTTCTGTCCCTCATTATTTTAATCATCCACCCTACGTTCGCAGCCTCCACTGCTGGAGTAGATTATAAAAACTTTCATTCATAAAATTTTTTTTAAATAAAAAAAAGACTAAGCCCTTCAAAATGAAGCTGATAGCTATCCTATAAGGCATAATATGATATAAAACATTATACACATCTTCTGTTCCATAATTATTGGGACAACATTCAAACAAGTACATTCAAAGCACCATCATCTGATGAGTACTTGTGACAACTCTGGTTGAACGCATATGAATCATTATATAATGTCACTGTTGTGTGGAATGATCGCTTCTGTTTGCTGTTCTTACTTATCATATCATTTGTTGTTAGCTAACATGTTACTCTCTCTTCTTATATATTCACCTAGTGTTAATTACCGTATCATGCGTCTATCACTCATCATACTCAATGTAATCGTATGCACTATACAAGCATATATCACTAATGAGCTTATCTTATGTCTCGATCGTTCTTGTTCATACTCAATGATTGTTCTTTTTCCTTTCTCTGTATAAGATATTCTCTCTTCTTCTCTCGTTCCACGATCGATATATAAAGAGTGGACGTGAGAGGAGAGAGCGATCATTCTTTTGGATAATAAACTCAAGAATCGTTACAGTACTCTGATAGGGATGAAACTATGATGACAGTAGCTTGACACACACACGCACACACAGCTAAAACCTCAATCGTGTTGAAAAGTTGCAATTCAGTTATATAGTAAGAAAAACTTATGATTTGTGATAAAAAATTTTATTTATTAGAAATAAAGAATAGTTAGTATTAAAAACTTTCATGAGTATGCGATATAGTTAAATTTGATACGTACAACCCGAAATGAATCAAAATAATGTCTGTTTAATAAAAAAAATAAACATAATAATCAGGGATCTAGTTTAATAATGAAGAGAATGTGTCATATAATTTCATGAAAAATACACCTGTCCTGTAATGTAAGAATGAGTATCATCCAATATACGATCCACCTACAATAAAGTTTCCAAATATCGAATACTGAACTATGTAATATTGTATAAGTCTTACTTGTGCACGTAGAATTGTTGACAAGTGTTAATTTCCATACGCCTATGCCATTTGTATTGGCTACATAAAGGTTACCGATTGAATCTACCGACATACTTAGAGATCCACTTGTGAATCCACCGTTAAATGAGCCATCGAATACAGTTACACCAAATGAAGCACCGACTATCCATTGTTGTATTCGCTGATTAGATGAATCAAGCACAAATAAATTACCATATGTATCTAAGACAACAGAAGTGGGACAATTCAACTGCGTCGCGAATGGCCCTGGTCCTTGACCACCTGCCACCACTATACCACACTGTAAAAAAAACCGTAGAATAATAAACGAAAAAAGGGTTTATGAAAGTGCAACGTGTCGCAAACCCTTTTCAACCGTTTATCAACGAGCCATAAACCCTGTTATAAACCCTCTAAAAAGGGTTTAGTACGGAATTTATTATCGTTAAATATTTTTTCTGGAAGGTTTATTGAAGGGTTGATCACATTCATAAATGCTTAAAGGGATTGCG